TCAGATGAAAACGAAGCAATTCGGGAGCATTCAGAAGTGCTTCGCTGCATTCAGAAGAAATTCAGAAAAAAGAAGCAAAACTGTCCGATTCATCAATGCTTTTTAGTAGCAATTCAGTAGCAAAAATTTACACCCGGGTAGAGAGCAACCATTTTGCCAAACGTTATTCTGACTTTATCTGTGTTTATTAATGGCAATATATTCACCGTGTGAATATTTTCAGTTAGCTTCAGTAAGCTTCGATCTACCACTTTGAACGTCAGCGATCAACATCAACAGAGACACTATAGCACATAGCATTAAACGCACTATTGCTTCACTCTTTGTACACACTTTGACATCACTTATGCTTTGGCGCGCGTCGTACGTTTTTCAAACGTTTATGTTTGATTCAAGTATTTCACCGATTTCACCGAATTTTCTTACTCAATATCAATATATTCATTTTTACTTGGAAGTTTTTTTTTATTGCAATGATGTTTTAAAATATGTATTGTCGAGAAATATTTTTTTTTCAATTTCCAAAATTAAATGAAATTAAAACACATAGCATGAAACGTATTCATAGTAGGAATGCATATGTATTAGTTTGTACTTATTCATTATAATGTATTTAGATAGGACGCTAGCGCGGCCTGGCTTCGATGGTGAATAAGTACAAAACTATCGACTGGAGAATGTGAAAATTTTGAACAAGGTCTGAGGTTTTTTCTCTTTTCGTCCATTTCTACAGTTTTCTCCTTTCGATTATGAACAAATCGATAATAAGCTGTTGATTTGAAAGTTTGATTTGTAGCTTTTCGACGGTTCTAGTATACGGTCTGCTGCCCAATTACATCATAATTCGTTTCGATTGCTCTTACTCACAACCATATATATATACTAACGACGAAAAAATCACTTTCGAGTGATTTTGTACACAAAGTTGTAAGTACGCCAGAAGAAAAAATCCAATCGTAAAACACTGCGAGTACCATCAAAGTAGAATAAGACGGCGGCGCTCAATTCGAGATGAAGAAAGTTATGGCAGCACTTCAACACTGAAGTGTAATAAATTGCGTTGTAAAGTGTGCTATTTATGCAAAGATCGAAGCAAAATGACGTCGAAAAGAACGTGCCCGAAGCTGAAGTTCAATTGTAAGCGTGTGTATGGCAGAGTGGTGCTGAGCCATCGAAAACTTGGGCTTCGACGCTACTGAACAGAAGATGTTTTTCTTAATTTAGCCTGTTCAACCAACGAAACCTAACAACGCATAAACGAAACGAATGGAAAATAATAATGTCATTGCTTGCAAAATCGCTCACAAAACACGAAAAATATTCTTTCCATAATCAGCCAAATTGCTGACAGTTGCGAAATGTTTAAAGGAATTTTGCACTTTCTTACGAAATGGAAAGAGAAAACGAACGCGAACGGGAAAACAATGTTGTACGAAAATCCAATCAAGTTAGTATGAACCTTTTCCGCTAATTTCTTTCGGCGTCTTCTGTTCTTTTCGCCGAAATGATTCATACGAATGGTTTAACCGGCATGTTATTGTTTTCAGCTGGAATTCAACAAAGCAAGGAATAGGATAGGATATAAAATGGCTACGATGAATTGTATTCAAAACATAGTTTGACCAATTCATTTTGTAGACAATTGCCAAGATTTTGCATTCACTTTCTATAGACGTGTAGTCCACTACTAGTAGATATGCTCTCGCATTTTCGTCGAATGTGGTTATCAATCAAGTACACTTTTTGTTGGTGTATCGTCGCACTCTATTGATTATTAATCTAAAGTGCTCGAGATACAGTGGCCATTAGCATAGAACTGTCGATAACGAATTGACTTTGTTCCAGCATTTATGCACTAACGGTTGGCCAGTATTGACATGCAATTAAATGCTTAAATGGAATGCCGCTTTATTCTATGCACTACGGGCAACAATCAGAAGCAGTTTCAGCCATAAATCAAAGCAAGTCAATGGTAGCACAGCGTACAGACAACACATTTGTTTAATTCGACGACAAAATTTCGTCAAACTGAAAAATGACAAGCATTTTAGCTGTGATTAAAATGCTCGGCATTCCAATTTAGGCCTCAAATTGAATATTTATGTGCAAACACGATTCGTTTGATTGAATTAAACCATTTACCGATTTCAATCATTTTGGTCTATCTCTCTCTCTCTGTGTGTGTGTATCGGTTTCGTCCAATCCATTTTGCCCTTTTTTCTACAGAGAAATGCAGCAATTACTGAAACATGTTTGCTAGCGCTCGCGCGCCAATAGCAGCAGTGAAAACAATTAAAAATGGATTTTACAATATTTAAATTGCAGTAGCAATGCGCTGGCGAGAGTCAATGATCATGTGGCCTGCAGCCAATCTGTGATCTGCAAGCTTAGCTTCAAATTTTAATTTGATTCGATTTGCTGCAAACGCGTTTGCTTTCGGTGCGTGCATATGATGTATACACTTCAGACTGTGGCCGATACTGTCACAAATAATTTATAAATTGGTCCAAATTGTGTATGATTCATTAAGACCGCATGTACTTAGAGTTTTTGTCTTTTTAAACGACTTGTAGACGCGCTCGTATGAATTTCGTACACAACATTGTAAATGTAATATTGCGAATTCGCAGCCCGAAAATGTACAAACAATCCGCAAACAACATAAAATTGTGACTACCAACATGGTGCGCGCAAACGCCATATACCCATTTAGCAATCGCTCAATTCGTGTTCGTTACACTACATTCCGCTTCTCTCTCTCTCTCTCTCTCTCTCTCTCTCTCTCTCTCTCTCTCTCTCTCTCTCTCTCTCTCTCTCTCTCTTTTTTTTTCGTAAATTTAATTTCGTTATTGTGTGTTTGTTACTCATTCAGCTCTGGTTTACATTAAGTGTGCACTCAATCTCAATTGACTAAATACTGCAAATACTGTTGTGCAGACTGTTGTTATACGCATAGCGACAGTGTACAATGTACTGTACATACACAGTGTATACATGAAGCATAAGCACTCCTCCGAAAGCCATCAAATACAGACATTGTAATAAAAACTTATTTTCTATTTTGACAAATTGAAAACAAAATTACATCTGTTGCGTTTGCCAGTTCTTTTTTTTCTCCTTCTTCTTTTGCTTTTTCCCTACAATAAGCTCAAAATGTGCTACGTTGGGCCTAGAGATAGCGTCAGACTATTTTAGAGTCGAGTGTTTGTCACCTTCGTTTAGCATCTGTTTTTCTATGCTTTTCTATCTTTAATTGAATAAGACAGATACGATAAGAACATTACCTGGATTACATTGGCTCGTACAGCAACGTGATCACGCTCTCAGTTCTGAAAGTACAAAAAACAACACAGAGAGAAGAGAAATAAAGTATTAATTAGAAAAGTTCGCATTTTGTAGGCAAGCTTGAGGAGTAAATTGTTTAAGACTGTTTGAATAATTCTAATGACAAAAACCAGTGTAAAACTGGTATAGATTAAGTTGGATGAAAGTTTCGTCGCATTGCATGTATTTGTCATTGACGCTAAGAGACTTTGTCAAAAAAAAGCATATAATGTACTCATTCTCTGAAAGTTTTCGCAAATGAATTTTGATATAAACCCATGTGTGCACTTGGATCCTGGCCATATAATCATGTTGAGCCATTGCAACAGAGGTAATCTACGGAAACCAAATCGGTTGCATTGTTACCAACCAAGCGGCAACTTAAATGACAAATGAAATCCAAATATTGTGAAAACAAATCGAATGCATAACCAACCACCATCGCATGAGACAATGGATGGCTTCGTGCGTTTACTTCGCATATTATGACATTGACACTCGGCTCTATCTGATTTGATTGGGATGTTCCAGATCCCTCTTTCTCTCTCTCTCTCTCTTAGTCTGTTCGTGCATGTGTGTGTGTGTGTGTGTGTGTGTGTGGTTTAGTGCTGATTGTGACTAGACTGAGTGCGATATTCTATATTTTATTGTTCCAACATTTTCTCTCTCTTGATTTTCGCATTTGTTTGCTGTGCAACACACCAGATTCGTCTATCTTTTTGGGCGGTAAAATGCTTTCATTTCTTTGGCAATGGCATCATGAGCATCATGAGCACACCGACATAACGCCCGTGTTGTTGCATCATTTCGATTATGTTGGGCCTTTGAAAGCATTCTCTCATTTATTGCTTTGTCGAATATGCATGAACATCATGGGCAGGCATCAGTGCGTCAAGGAAACATATTTCAAAATTATGAGAGCAAACACACAAAGACCATCGAGTAAACTCAAATCTCACTAAGTTGCAAATCATGTCGATGCAAATTCCGAATTTCCGAAATTCGAGTAAATAAATGAATGGTGTGTACTTGTGCCACTGCCTGCACCTCTATCAATGCCTATATGCGTGGGTGTGCAACGAGACATACGAAGCATCTCAACTCGGTCGGCCTCTATGCTTTCAATTCTCTCAAGTAATTCGATGCAATTCGACATAGACGTATATTGTTTCGGTACAACAAATCTCTTTCGATTTTTGCTTTTCATTCATTGATCCATTTCGGTTAAAGTCGTTCAACATGACTTTTTCGACAATTCGAAAGATAGAATCAATGGGAGAGTTCATGCAACTTCCATGTCCCTTGTTGTAAATATTTCGGTTTGTCTGATGCACCGACTTCAAACAAAAGTTTTACGTAAGAATTTTCCCAACAATGGATTTGCTGGTACCAACTGACATAACAACGATCATTGATGTAGTGAAAGCCGTTCTTTTTGTTGGCTCATCTTCGCAATTCAGAATATAGTGAAAGACAATGAAGAAAATTGAGAAACGTGTTTTATTGCTGCCTCAAACCACATAAAAATAAATGAAAATCCATCAACCAGCAGCCATTTTGAGGTTCAACTCACAAACATTTATTTATAAATTACATTAACGCCATCATGCGACCAGCCCCACGAGGAGCAACAACAATATCAGCAGCCGTAGCAGCAACATTGTTCGAACGGTCAGCGATATTGGCATTGAATGCAATCAAATAATACCCGTATATTTACTGGAATATAACATCAGCGTCCGAAATAGACTTTTTTGTTTCTCAAACCAGCAATTTCCAAATTCAAAACATTCACATGTTTTCTGACTGACGAAAAACAAAAACTTGCCAACCAAGTTGATCCACTGCAATAGCAGTTCAAATATAGCATAATAATTAATTCATGTTGCAAACGTCAAACAGTTTCGTCAGCCGCTCATTCCCCACCCCCCTCTCTCCACCTCTCTCCATCTATCTATCATTCAGAACTGTCACGTTAACTAAGGAGAAATGCACAACTGCTTCGCTACTTCTTGAATAATACATTTGTTTGTATCGCGAATGAAAAGTATGAAAGTTCTGTGTCGCAACCAGTCGCCTGAAACGGACAACGTAGTCAAAAGTCAAAATGAAACAAGTGTTTCAATAATAAGGCATCGCGTCATTTCAAAACGGCTATAAACTCAAGTGAATTTCGATAGTATTTGCTGGCGGCTTTGTCACAATCACAAAGAAAGAGGCAAATAAATGCCAAGATGCTTTTGAAATATCTATAATAAATTGAGACGAATATTTTGGATTCGGAACAGTTGCGCAGAGTGACATAGAAATTTCGAAAGCAACTTTTATTCAAAATGTTCATTCATTTGGACCGCTTTCTTATTCCAGCACATTTCGTCTGCAAAGTTTCCTCTGCCATTGGAATACGACGTTGAAACCGCCTCGCTACGTATTAACGTTCTTTTCTTGTTCTGTGTTGTTTTTTTCATTGTGCTCGCTTCTTTTTGCTTTGGCTTTCGTTTCGCTTATGTACACTCGTGACTTACTACACAGTAAATCATGCGTCATTTAAGCCATATATATGTAAAACCGAAAGTCAATAGCCACATTATGTAAACGGATCAATTGTATGAGATTAGATCACCAGACCAAAGTCAATTAAATGATGGCCTTCTTTTCATATCGTTGCTAATTTTGAAAATAAACAAATAACGTATTGTTTTCACATTTTTGAAGTCACAGTTCTCGGGAAGAACCAAGAAGTTCATGTGCATGAATGGCATCACTCGTGATTTCGAAACCCAATGGAAGATGAGTATGATCAAGTGTGGTTATTATCCAATTTGGTAAAATTCAATCGAAAATTAAGAAATGTTTTTTTTTCAATCGTTACTGCGGCGGTTGAATTTCATTTCGCAAAATTCATGAGCCTAACAACGTTTCCGCTGTTGAAAGTGATAGATGTTTCGAATGTCATAAAATAGCTTTACGATTCGCGCCTCTAATCAGCGAATGTCGTCATCGATCGTATTGAAAGAAAAAAGAAAAAAAGAGAAACGTTTTGATTATGTGTGCGACTGTGTGTGTGTGTGTGTGTGAATGTGCAACATATTTGCTTTTGTTGTGTGTCTGAATCGAACAGAAACGCCATCATATGTACACAATCAAAGTATATAGAAGCTCAAGAGAATGGTGAATGTTAAAAGCGATGACCGGTATCAAGGTCTTTTCGGCTATTTTAAACTTTACACACATACACACACACACGCACACAATTCGACTTGTTATATATACACATGTATAGTGTGTTTGGTTCAGGCACATTTGCTCTCTTCATTTCCTCTTCTTTTTCAGGTTCTGTGCAGCGCGCGGTTAATGGTGTTTCTTCTTTGCTCTAAAGAGCGTAAAATACGAGCCAACGAATGAACCAATCGCTTGTGAACACTTACCCGAAGCAAATAAAACAAAGCGTTTTTTTCGCTCTCTCTCTCTCTTTCTCTCTCTCTCTCTCTGTCCAACAAAAAGTGTCTTAAAATGAATACAAATATTGTTATAGCGTCTCAAGTTTAATAGTGCTCTTCGCATCGGGCCTTGCACATTGTTCCAACGAAGGAAAAAAGAGCGAGAAGCATTTGTTTGTATTGGTGTGGTGCGAATGTGATCTGACCAAGACCATATACACACACAAGACATAAGATTTGAAAACATAGTGGAAGAATAAATAAAAAAAGCTAAATGGTGTGTTGTTCGTCAATATCGTCGAGGTTGTTACACTCTTCACGGCAACAAACTAGAAGCTACATTTTGTGTGTAACGATTGAACGAGAAATGAAGAAAGAAGTAGAAAAAAGCTAGTGGTCACGGACAGTGGAAATGAAACCGCAGCAACACACATCGACCGATTATTACATAAAAGAAGAGAAAAAAACGAGCAACAGCAGCAGCAAACGCAGAATTGTGCTCCAACCATTATGCCCAGTCCAGTGCCAGTTGCCGGATGAGACAACGACGATAGCCGCTAACACAGAAAAACAGAGAGAACCACATCGAGAATGAAATGGAAAATGAAGAGTTGAACCAGATGAAAAAAAAAGCTTTACGTAGAAAGAAGAATGTGAACTGAAGATGGAAACAAAAAGTTTCTTTCCTGCTCCATTATGTACACGTATTTCATCGTTTGGGTTAATGCTTTTGTTGAAAGAGCCGCGCGTAGCACCAAAATAAAAACAAGCTAAATAGTGTAGCGAAAGAGAATGGAAAAAGGTTCGTAATATTTATGGAGTTCAAGACGAAGAAGACATTGCCATCGTCGTGGTCGTCGTCTTCGCCATCGTCGCTGTTGTTGTCGTCGTCGTCATTCGTGCATTGGCATTATGTATTCGCCAAAGTGAGCCGCAAGCACGCACACACTTTGCACGTAACGAAATTCTCTCATTTCTAATATTGGGCATGAACGCGGTGTGGCAGCAACATGATTTATTCTGAAAGTTTTTTTTTCTCCCTTCTACGCATTATTACCGTGTTTTTACACCGTTGCTGCCGCTCATCGGCTCATCGGGGCCCCCAGAAAGCAAAATGAATACACAGCCAAAGAAAGTCAAATATACGAAGGCAGAAAAGAGAGAGAATCAACGAAAATATCGCAAAAAGCTGCAATAATCTTTCGAAGCAAGCAGATTTATTAGAGGCAAGGCACTTAGCCTAAGTACAAACTCATACTCAGCGGTTTGGGTTATTTGGACACCTCTCGAAATGGATTTCACAAAATATCGCACACAATTTTTTTTTCTGATTGAATTGTTTCAGTGTTTGTTTGTTTTATGGAATTAAGTCAACACCGAGAATTCCAAAGAAGAAACGGAGAATTTCATCGAAACCAAAATGGTTTCGTTGTACATATATCAAGTTAAAATTGCAAGTAAATACGAAAATTCAATTTAAATTTTCCAATTGTTTTGTTGGTTATTGAATTCGGATTAGCAGCTTCGAACATGATCACACTGTCTCGGCGTCTTCATTTTGTGTT